TGCTTTTCACCTTTATTTATTAAGAATCATTTTACATAGATTGCAGGAAGTTTGTGAATTAAAAATACGTTTAGGTTTTTTTATCCCGATTTATTAAGGACCACTTTACTTAGTTTGCAGAGAGGTTATAAATTTAAGAATATGCTTTTGATTGTCCTTGAGATAGTGACCACAGTGCAATTGCCAGTTTATTAACTAGGGAATGAGCTTATACTGGACTTTGCTATCTTAGTGCATTGCTCTGCCTTGACTAGAATACATTACTTTCATAACTTCAGTTGAAGTCAGTGAAATGCCATGTTTTATAGTAATAGATATAGGTATGTAATGATTTGGTTCCATAACTTCAGTTGAAGTCAGTGAAATGCCATGTTTTATAGTAATAGATATAGGTATGTAATGATTTGGTAATTATTGCTTATTAATGATTGCTCATTGATACATAGTTGTATTCTGATTTATTCACTTAAAAAATTAAAAATAAATCCCCAAGATATGTTATTATTCTTGATGCAGTGCAGTATCAAAGTGTAGTCTATATAGTCCAGGAAAAAAAATTAAAATAGGAAAGCCTTATACTGATTTAATAGCAGCTATTTGCACAATAGGTTTTTTGGTTTTTAAATATCTATTTAACTATTCAGCAAGCCAGATATCAAGGACTCTGTTCCTTCAGAATAAAGAAGTTTGGTGACAATATTTAAAGCTATATTTTAAATTTAACTTTTATATTTATTAAACTACTAAAAGACAGATCATTTTGAATTAACTGGTCATCATCTCCCTTAATCTCAACTATATTTTTGTCCCTAAATATAATCATTCATTCACCAGGGTTTCATTTCCTGGGGATCAAGTATCTCAGCCAAGAAGGTCTCTAAGTGGTGACAGAACTGATGGCAGTGGACAGTACCTGTGGCTCAAGCATTAACGGCAGCTGCTGTTTTTGTTAGGAATAAGTCAGCCACGAAGCTACCAGCTGCCACTGTAATTGTCGCAGGTGAAACCACATATGTTCCTGAAGGGCCAAAAAGTTTAAGCACAAAGGTCAGCATCCGATAGGCAGGCATAAGATATGCAAATGCCTTATCTTCACATTGTAACGTCTCATTCATCTTTGAGGGTCAATTTTCATAAACTTTCAGAATTGATACCTTGAAAATGCCCCCTGGACTTAGATTATGGAAGCTGTTGATTGACAGTTTTTATTTGTTTTTGTTGTTTTTTATTTTTTTTTTATTTAAAATACAGCCACTTGTGAAGAGAAGCTTCCGAATTCACAATGTGATTTTTTTTTTTTTTGGCAAAATGAATATTTAAATACAATTATTTTACTTATTTCAGGTCTAAACAAATGTAAAGATAAATGTAAAACACTGTAGGGGCAATGCTAGCAATACAAGCTTAACTATGCAGTGGTTTTTGGTTTGTCTTTGAAAAGAATGGAATGAACTTTTCAGCATACACTTTTTTTTTTTTTTTTAGTTTAGGAGTAATATTGTAGACTATTTTAAAAGCTCAGAATTTTAAACCACTCATAACCATTGTCTGTTTTGTTTAAAGAGATCTAATTTGTACAGAAAGAAAAGTCTTTAAAGATTGTCTTAATTTTCGTTTCCAGATATCCTCTTTGAACTTTGAATGTTTGATTCCTCTGTTTTATATGGTAACATTTCAAAACAAAGCATACCAAATCTTAGTCCAGAGAGGGCATAGGAATGGCACAAGACTCTTTGGTTGGCAGCAGATCCACGAGTGAGCCAATCACTCTGAAGACCTGGAATTTTCAGAAGGATGACACCTGCCAAGGGCAAGACGTAAAGCAGTTCAAAGAATTATTCATGGTGTGGGGGACAGGCTTCCTGCAGTCAAGACGTCAACAGTGTGCTTTGCCAGCGATGACAGAAAATATTTCTATTTGTACATGTTTTTATTACCAAACTTCACTTCTTCCCTGTAAGATGCGGTTACCTGTCTCATTTTCTTCTGTATTTTGACTCATGTGTGCCCCTTACGTGATAGATACTAAAATACTGAACAAATAAATGTGGGATTCAGTGATCACCTCACAGGCCAACAGGGTCCACAGTCTTGGATTCTTGGTAGCCGGAAACATGGCACAAGGCTCAGAGGTGATGGATTTGCAAGGTAACATCTACCTGTGCCACTGAGTTCAGGTTTCGTCTTCTGTATAGTTTATACCCCAGGCTATTACGAGAACTTAGAAAAGCCACACTTTTCCGGACGGTCTGAGGATTCGTGGAATAGAGAAGAGAGACTGGACAATTAGGAGAAAATATCCTCACTTTTCAAAAAAGTGGAATGTGAAGTTCTTAACTTTTTGATTGGCAAGCCGCCATGGATTTTGGGGAAAAGGATAGCCTGACTTACTGACTTGCTAGCTCTGTGGCATGGGGTAATTCTGTACCTTCGCTAACTCATATCTCTAATGGGAAGATAATAGCACTTGTCTCACAGGACTCTTGAGGATTTTCTATGTATGTACGGAGGTGCGTATGTATGTGTATGTCTATGTATTTACATATGTAACCTACAACAATGTCTAGCGCATGTGGGTTAGCTATTTCGTTATAATTAAAATATAGAAGGAGCTTGCTCAATTCCTGCACTCACCAGTTATAGTAAGAATTCTTACTGGTAAATCCAACATGTTTCTAGTGTGCGGTACTGTTTTCTGATGTATCTTTGATGACATATTTAATTGGTGCCAATCTGGATCCCCTTTACTCTCAATTTAGTGTCTTTCCTTACACACACACTTACATAAACTCATACAGTCGTATATGCACATTCTCTCACAAATACATTTATAAAATATCTCTATTTCTCTTCCTCCCCCTCCTTCTCTCTCTCTCCCTCCCTCCTTCCCTCCCTCCCACACACACTCACACAAAGCACACACAGGATTGGTGTGTTAGTTTCCAGTTAGGTCAAGTCATAAAATTACAGATGAAGGACAATTTAGAATTCTTTAAAAATTCTATTAAGCTAAAATGTCAGACTTGAATTATGAGGTATTCAGATCAGTTATCTCTTACTCTTCGTTTATTTTTCTACTATATTTTAAGGACTCTGCACACATATATGAAAACACATATATAGCATGAGCATAATTACTAATTTCTGAAGAACATTAATGATTCAATTTTTGAATGACTATCGGGTGAGATTTCAAAGTTGTTGATTCCTAAATTCATAGTTTTCAGCCTTTTGAAGTACATGTATATGTACATGTGTTTCTCAAGGCTCTTCCTACATGAAAGTTTAGTACATGTTCAGATGTACCAGAACTGAACAGTGAATTGAATTGGTTTGACTTGGGTCCTAGGACCTGGAACTCTGATTTATGGAATCTCTTTTCTCAAAGTTTCCCAGGAGCTCCTAGCTCTGTTCTGGCGGCTTGAAAACCAAGATCGATTTTGTAGCAAACGTTTTCCTCTGTGCTAAGCACTTTTTCCAACATCATCAAAGCCTAGTCTTCATAAAGTGCTCAAAGATACTTCTTATTCCGACTTTAAGATGAGGAGAATGAGGCCAAGCGATATAAGTGCTCCCGTTTGCCCAGCTCTGTGAGCTGCAGAGCCAGGATCTGAGCTCCAGTCTTCCTCTTTCAAAACCTGCCCTTGACCACTCTGCGAGGAAGCCGGACACGCCCCTTTTATGCCACGTAGTTCACGTGGACCTTTTCTTTAAGGAAGTGGCGTAGAGAATGATCCTCACCCAAACCAGAAGTGGCAGATTTCGAACTGCTGAGATTGCCTATCATAACTATTCCCTACTTATTTGAACCATTTGCCGTGATCAGATCCCTCAGGTATAACTCTTTAGTACTTAATTTTGTATACTGTTCTCTTTTTTTTTCCTTTTCATCAATTGCTTATTAATTTATTTGTCCAGCTTTCCTGTGCTTCCTTCTCATTCCTTGTCACAGACTAATGACAATCCTACCTATTGGTTTTTCCTTCCCCCACCCTAGGCCAACCCCACCACCCCAATCCTGAAAAGGAGACAGCCAGAGTTATTTCGCTCTCTCCCCTCTCTTCATATTCATCCTCATCACTCTTGGATTTGATGGAGTTTTTACAATATAACTATAAAAGATGACATTTCATTCTACGAGAACAATGTCTCGGTTACATCCTATGCTAAATGGATAGATGGATTTTCCTCCGTGACTTAATTTTGTGACCTGTCTGGGGAAACGTGCAGTTTTATCAGCAGCTGTCTTCTCTTTTCTTATCAGAATTCAGCTTTTAGCATGTCGCTCATGGTTCGAAGTTATTATTTAGACTTCACAAATCCTTTCTTCCAAACTCTTTTTCTTAAGTAGGGAAACAAACAAACAACTCTGCCCAGAATCTTTCAAACAGAGCTGTAATATTTGCAGTCTATATAAACACTACATCTGAAAGGGGAGCTTGTTTAGCTTCAGTTACGTTAGGAAGTGCAGATTGAAGTGGAAATAGAAAAGATGTATTTTTCTTCTCTCACAGGTTGAGAATTAACTTTAATAGGGGAAATGTTGAGTGTTTCTTAAAACAATATGAACTTCTTTATTTCCCCCAGATATTAGTTGCCAATGTGCAAACATTTCAAGAAGAAATTTTGCACCGCCTCATCTGTGTCAAGTGACATTTAATGGTTGAATGAAAGACGGTCCTAAATCTGGCCAGCTCTTCACTGGTGTATAAATCTGGGGATTAAAATGACAGTTGATTAGCGAGTGAACCTTTTCTAGTATAAACTCCAAGGCAACAACCATTTAAAATCAGTTACTATCAACAAGTCAAACATTTTTTGCTTGAATTTATATTTCTCTGTAAAGATTTCACAACTTTCTGTGGGATGTTTTCTGTCGTTCGGATGTTATGTATAAAGGTCCTGATTCTGTTTGGAAGGCCTAGTTGTGTAGACTCTTGGTAAAGATTTGAGTTGGTATCTCAAAGACATTCACAGGTAGTTTCTTTCTGTCCTCGTAGGTAGAAATCACACTTCAGGATATCAATGACAACCCACCGGTGTTTCCAACGGACATGCTGGATCTTACCGTAGAGGAGAACATTGGAGACGGCTCCAAGATTATGCAGCTGACAGCCATGGATGCTGATGAGGTAACTCAGAGCCTGTCTCTGAATTTTTAAAACCTAGTATTCCAGTGCTTTATCAAATTTCTAGGATATTGACAACTTTTATTACCCAACTAGATTCAGCATTGTGTGCTATTTTCCTAAGAACATTAATTGTTGAAGTGCGTTATTAAAATATAATGGAGACTATAAAGAGGTATTTTTTCTTTGATCAGCAGTTCACAGCTCAGTTAATTGCTGGTTCCATTTTAGATTTCATAGCCATATTATTTTTAATTCTCAATAAAAAATTTGTATATTATTATTATTCCAGTGTCCTATATTATAGCCACCAAGGATTTGTTTTTATTTGTAATTTTAAACAAATTAAAATTAAAAAATTTTAAGGCTATCTTATAATTTTTAAATTTAATTTAATTTATATATATGTGTATAACAAAATAAACAATTCACAATAACCTTACATATTTTAAGTAAATTATTCTTTCAATTTCATTAGTAAACAGAAATTTCTTGCCTAGTGGTGAATGTGAAATTTTGGAGCACAACTCAGATTGCTGTCCTCTGTCTTTATATTTTTAAAGTTTAGCTGTGTCATTACGCTCCCAATGGCATGGCGACTTATATAATTTATACTTTATTTTTTACCCATGGGGAAAAAACAACCAACAAGCATTGCTTGTTTTCTCCTTCTTGCTAGGTAAAAAGTTAGCTACTGTTCTGGAGTTTCGGAAAGATGAATGACCTCCCCAGACACCAGTGTCCCCTTTCCCCTTAAACTAAGCCCAAACCAGATCAGAGAATTCCCTTGCCTTGAACTCCAGAAGTATCTGAACACTTGATTTCTGGCCTATGAGTAAGATATTCATAAATTCATTTCCTTAACTTTACAAAGGTAAATAAAAAAAAAGACTGATTTTAACAGCCAGTACAGAAATGTAATAATGACTTAGTCCCTTATAAATTTTGCCAACATCTAAAGGAAAGGAAACAAAGTAAAGCATAGACATTTAGATAATTGTAGTATTCTATTAAAAAAATTTGGTATTTTAAATATAGCTCCAGCTACCATTAAGAATTATATGATTGGGTGGTAAACACACAATAGAATATACAGATGTCAAATTATAATACACACTTGAAAATTATACACACCTGAAAAAATGATGTTACCTCAGTAAACTTAAAAAAAAGTTATATGACTGAATATTTCTATTATTATTAATTGATGCGAGGTACCATCAGCAATAATTTAGTAAATATTGCATTCTTTAAAGCTCATCATTTAAAAAATATATTTAGATAGCTTAATTCATAAAATTTCATTAACTTTCATTTAGTAGAAGAGCAGAAAAAGGCTCATGCAATCGCTGTAAGACAGTTCGCACCAAATTATTATGACTGTTTCATTGGCTGTGCTCTATAGGAACAGAACAAATAAACTTCATTTATATCAAGTATGTATTCAGAGTAACCAATAATCACGTCAATACATATCGTAATGGGATACACTGCTCTGTTAAAATCGATTGTTTGAAAGAGATGCCAACATTCAACCCTTTTACTTCTATTGTAGTGTACTATTATCATTTTATTTCCATCCCTTTTTTTTTTGTTTTTAAAATATGGCAGGTAAGGGGCAGTACACACGCAGTGCTGCTCGCGTGTTTGTGTATCTCTATCTGACTTTGTGAGTGTGAGTGTGTGTGTGTGCGTGTGCGTGCTCACGCATGCGCACACTTGCATGGCCTTCATCTTTTGAGATGTGTTTGTATTTACAATGAGGTTTGAGGACGGCTGGGAAGGCCTTTACACCTCTCAGTATGTATATCCACATCGTTTTAGTGCATTTTGTTTTATTTCAGTTGTGCTTCGTTTTTTAAGTTGTTTTCTTTTTTTTCTTTTTAAATGTAAGTAACCATGCAAGGGTGATCACTTACACATTCTAGTTAAAAAAAAATACTGAATGTGAGGTGTATCTAGGATGCCAGAAGTGCATTTGGTGAGACAAGGGCAGAGAAGTGCAAGGTTATAAAGCAGGAACAGACCAGGAAACAGAGGGAGGCCCTTTGCAGTTCTGGGGGCGGTGGGGGTGCAGCAGCTCCTGAGGGTGGGACTGTGCCTGCGGCATAGAGATCCCCAAGTCCTCTGTAACCGGATCTAGGCCGGGAGGGGAACGACAGGACGGGGCAAAGGGAGGTTTGAAGTCCATCTACAACTTTAAAGGAAAGGAGGACTTTTTATTTCTGGACTGTACTTTCTTTTTTGAAGATTTGTTTATGAGTTCTCTTTCTTTCTTGAATACATTTTATCTTAATTTTTTTAGTAGTATTTTAATGACGACGGACTATTTCAACTCCTGTCATGACAAAACCAACATTTATTTGTCCCAATGCCAAACAGAATGGATACCTAAGGCTGCCTGTGGCATTTAGAATTATTGGCTGTTATTATGTATAACAGCCAATGACATATATATATATATATATACGTCACTAAAAATAATAACAGCCAATAATATATATATGGCATGTTTTCTCTCTTACCGAATCGTGGCTCGTTCTTTTTTCACCGAGTTTGACTAGGACTCAATATTGAAATACAAAGTATTTCTTCTACTTTGCAGTCAGTGTTAAGCTGAAAATAAAAAAAAAAACAAAATAAATGGCAACAAGCCTTTATTTGAGATTAAAAAAAAAAATGCAATCCAGGGACATAGATTCAGGCAGAAACCTGTATTATGTCCTAATTATTGGCGATTTTTTATGAGAAAAGGAAGTAATTCCATAAATAGAAGGCAGGATTTCTGTCGGTGCCGATGCGCTCGGTAGCTCTGGGCTCGCCATGGCCGGTTACCGGTTCTGAACACTGTCCTCAGCGTCGGTCCTTGTGGTCAGGGTGTCTGCTTTACCTGTTCGCTTTCCGGACCATTGTTCAGAAGACAGTGCTGGTTTGGCCCCGTGCAAAGGTGACTTTGCCCACTGCAGACCTTCCAGAGGTTCAAGGAGATACACGTGCCGGCCGCTTCCTCGGGGGCGGCCGCTCCGACTCTGTTTTGCAAGGAATGGCTCCGTTTATGTCATTTTTCTCATCACCGTTAAATTGTCTCACAGCTGTCCAGGACACCGATTTTGAGAGATTAATAGAATTCTTTAAAACATTAAAATTATGTAGGTCATCTGAAAATTCTGTCAATATATTGTTATTTATTTACTTTTCCTTAATAATTAAATCAAGCACAAATGCACGAGTATGTTAGAGACATTCAAGTCGGACGCTGGGGAGTGATGCCTAGGTGAAGGCAGTGTCCGTAAGCAACACAGGGGAGTTCAACCTAATTTAAATATCATTTGAAACATGCGCTGGATCGAGATATACATCTTTTGGAAGTACCCGACTTTGTTAGTCTCTTGTTTCCCTTTATAAACAGAATTATTATGCTTATAATGGGCCAGGATGCTCAAACTTTGTTTCATGGTACCATGTTTGTTTTTGAAAATACTACTTAAGGTTGTAAAATGCATTAGCCATTTATAGCTATTTACTTTTGGAATTCCTTTCACGTGCTTTTGTCTCTCGTGGTTCCTCGGGAGAGTGAAATATTTTTAACCAGCATTGTTCCCACTGTGCCGCAGCTGAAATGTGATATTTGTTTCTTGTGGTATTGCTGATACTGCATATTTGGGGCATTAAACAAATAGACTTTCAAAAGACCTAATTAAATCATTACTCTTGGCCAGACATTTTCAGCTATTTACTAGAATTATTAATTCACCACATCTGCTGATTGTGAATACAAAAAAACATTGTTTTATCAACCTAGTCTGATACCTTTGCTTCTGTTCAGAAGAATTATCGTAAGTTTAGAAGTATTAATTATTACAGTCATTTTGTAAACAGGACATTTCTAAACTTCAAATCATTCGTGTAATAGCTTTAAGTATGGTTTCTTTCTTTGCTTTTCCCTAATTTCCAAATAGTTACCATTTTAACAAGTCAGAATTGAATGTAGCTGTTTTCATACCTGGACTGTTTTACTGGAATAATGGAATTCCTTATGAAATAGAACAAATAGTATAGAATGTGGTCAGACTAGAAATCTAAAATTCTTATTGAATGTTTTTGTTAGACCATAAAATTACAATAAATGTTAGATACTCCACGTACACCTGAACATACAAGATAAGTGTGGGCAGTATGTTAAACTCAGCAGTTTCGTTACTAAATTAAAATGTGCTTGTAGGCATTCACTTAATGAAATGTTAAGGTTGGCTTGGAGACCACAGTACAGAAATATAGCCAATACCGTTAAACATACATTTGAAAGAGTATTTTTGCCTTTGACTGTTAGAAATCATTGCCGTATGTACTTATGACCATGAAGGTTAGGCAGATTTAGTCTCTGATGGAAAAGATATATGGAAACTGTGATTGCTATAATCTCCCATCACGTCAGCCTTACATCCTACAAACCCTAAATTTATGTTCTTCCTAATATCCTTCTTGACAGTTCTTTGCCTGGATATTTTAATAAATACATTTCTAGAAGTTAACAATGGTAAAAGATATATTTGTTTTATATGAGCATCTCCAAATCAAAAAGTATATTTTGAAGTCAATTCTAATATTACTTATACCTCAATAGTTACATATAATAGGAAATCAGGAAATATATTTCCCCTGGAATATATTATATAGCAATTCTAATTGTGTTTGATTTAAATTCCTCATTTGCAGACATCTCAGTTATCAAATATACTTAACCCATTATATTTTCTCTTATAAGAAAATGTTAAAAACAGGAATAAAAATAACAACTAAGTATATGATGACTAAGCACCGTCATACACTTACTGTTTCTCAGGGACTGTTCTAGCTTCTTTACAGGTATTAATTCATTAATCCTTGCAGCAGCTCTCTCTGGCAGGTAATATCATCATCCCGATAGTCCAGATCAGGAAACAAAGGCTCAAAGAGAGTAAGCGGTGGCCCAGTGACACATTAGTAAACAGTGGAGCAGGGATTTCATCTGACAGCGAGGTACCGGAGCATCAGCTCTCAACCAGGACAGTGCAGAATATTTAACTTGTTATTTCAATGAGACATAATTTAGCATATCTACGTCAAACTGCTTATAATTTCTACACTATGTAGATAAGTTTATAATAGATTTAAAATACCATGGAGTTAGCATACCCCATCATCAAATTTGGATAGGTGCTTTAGTTTTAACTCTCCTTAATTTATTTTGACTTTGTTGAAACCTACTCTTCTTGAAACCTTTCCTTTACCGGCGGTCCCCAACCTTTTTGGTACCAGGGACCGGTGCTGCTATGAGAACCTCATGCCTGATGATCCGAGGCGGAGCTGAGGCGGTGATGCCGGCGTGGGGAGCGGCTTCAGACACAGACGGAGCTTCGCTCCCTCACCCACCGCCCACCTCCTGCTGTACGGCCCGGTTCCTAACAGGCCACCTCACCCACCACCCACCTCCTGCTGTACGGCCCGGTTCCTCACAGGCCACGGACTGGTACCGGTTGTGGCCCAGGGCCCTTTAACCTCACGGGGGGCCTGTTCCTCCTAGGACCTCCCCCTTCTTCCTCCCTCAGCCCCTGCCTCTGCTCCTAAAATGTTGATATTTAGTCCTTACACTGCTGTTCCTTTCTCTGTTCTAATTTAAATTCTCAGCAAATCTTGTGGATTCAGTTGCCACCTACACATATCGACCTTCAGATATTTTTCTCAAACACTTCTCGAGTCTCTGATGGCCACATAACCATCTTCTGTGACACTGTCCTTCAGTCCTGTAACAAACCACACTGCGTAGCTTCTCCTGTGTCGGAGCC